AGTCCCTCCAGTCCGCCGCTGGGCCTCCCCGTCCTCGCTTGGGGCCTGAGGCTGCCTCTGGGGGGGGGGTGGGGCGGGGGACCCCCCCCCCGCCGGCGTCTGGCGACCCGTCTCCACATCCCCTCGCAGGATGGGGCTGGGCCACTTGGGGATGTGGAACTAGACAAGTGGGTGTCGGGATGGCGGGATGACTGCCGCTTGAGGGCTGGGGGCCTGTTCTGACGCCCCTCAGGGTGGATGGATCCCAGGCAGGGGGGTGGCTGTGGAGGCCGGAACCGTGGGGGTGACAAGGGGTTTCAAGAAGCAGGTCCTGGGGAGGAAGAGTCCTGTGGGGCCGTGCCCTGCTGAACTGGGCCAGGGTCCCTTCAGTTGGGCTGCCGTGGGATGGCTGGCTGTCCAGCGTCTGCTTGGCCAGTCCTGGGGATTTGAGGCCTCTTAATATTTTCAAGAGTTTGCAGTGACGGCATGGGGATAGATCTAAATGTGGGTAAAAATGAATAGAAACAGGCCTCTCATACAGGTGTGCAACTTAAGGAAGAAGGCATGGCAGGTGTCTGAGTCCAGTTCAGGTGAAGAGTTTTGGTACAGTGCTTGGCAAGAAAATCATGTGGGCCATCGGGAGTTAGAAGGCATGGCCATCTGCAGCTTAGAGTGAATGAGCATGACAAAAAGCAAGATAGAGAGGTTCAGAGCCAAACGGGGAATGCCAGGCCAAACTTCGCATTAAAAACTGAAACAACATGGGGGAAAAAAACCCTTCTACAACTTTTAAAGGTCACAATTTTGAAAGGTGAATTGGGCAATGGGGGAAAAAAAGGAAAATAATTGAAAGTTGTTTAGACGTTGTTATAAGTGACTTCTGGTAGTTTCACTAAGGATATTAAATCCTATATAGATAAGGGAAGCTTATTTATTCTTTTGCTTCTAGTTTAAAGATAAACTTGGAGAGAAGCAAAATGTTTTTCTGTCATTGAGGGCTTGTAATTTTGTTCATTTTGGCCAGTGGCTGCTGGGAATTCTGAGCAGCAGCCCCATCACCGCTAGAAAAGCTGACCTAACTACTGTGAGATGTGCTTCTTTATTTGCCTGTCCGCAGTGGTGGTGTTACTGTCATGGATAGACGGTGACACTCTCTTCTTTTATGAAGTGTGGCTAGTTTATAAAAACTAGAATTCTAGAATGATTACTAGAAAAGTCACTGGGATAGCTTTTCTGGCTAGAGCCTTGTTCAGTACAGTAGAGGAGGAATTTGTATCAGTCTGGGTATATATAGACCAATATGGATGTGCCAGACAACATGTTGATTTAATTATCTATAAATTGATGGACTCTTCCCACGTGGCTTTAGCTGCACCTGTGACTGGCAGCAATACGTATGAGATGCTATTCCTAAGAGGAAAAAAATGGATGCTCCTTAAATGTACCACCTAGTTGTAGTTCATTTGATTTGATGGTAGACCCTTAGTCAGTAATTCTGGTGCATTAAGAAATTAGCTGTTCCTTGGACTTTCTCATAAACTGGCCTATAGCACTGTAGTTTCTTCTTTTCTTTGGGTTGTTGGGTTATGTATTGCATCTATCACTCCAGACTATGGAAGTCCTCTTGTCAAAGCTAGACTTGAGCCATGGGTGCTAGTGGACCCTTTCTTGCTTGTGATGTTTCCATTGTGCAGTCTGTTTGTTTTATATACTGGGGTGAAAACACAGGACTATCATGAAACTCCTAACAAAAATTCAGGTGGATAAAACCTTGTAAATTGGATATAGTTCCTGTAACCTGTGGAATAAATCTATTGGGCCCTCATGTTGTGGTATTTGGTTCATATTGCTTACTACCCTGTGTTTTCAATTGCTGATCACTGTAGTATCGAATAATAAATACAAACATTTACATTTTGATCTTATAAAACTTTAGTTCTTTGGTCATGTTTTATCATGACTCCTTCGTGGCCTGCCTCCAGGGACGTGGCATTGCTGTGATTGTTGCTGAGACCACTCAAGCAGCAAGTGCTGAAAATGTAGGGAGATACGATACAAACCATAACTAGTGATGTGTTAGACTAAAGCACAAAGGGACTTAGAAGAAAGGCTAAAAGCAAGGGGGAAGAAAGGCATTTTGGCTCGTCAGGAGGACAAGGAAGGACGAGGGAGGGGTGGGCTGCTGCTCCGAGAAGAGGGGAGAACAGGAGCAGGTGAGGAGGAGAGAGCAGAGCTTTCAGGCCCAACTTGGCTTTGCTCTGCTCTCCAAAGGGGAACTCGGCCTGAGCAGAGCATTGACCCAAGGAGGGAAGGGCAACCCAAGGCGAGGAAGGAGAGGATGGGGGCCATTGGCTAGCATGAATGAGTTTTACGCCTCCAGGATCAGGCCGCTCACCTCCAAGAGTCTTGAAGGCGCTTGTGATGAAAGGTGAAGTCATTTCTTTATATAGCTCTTTTTCTTTACTGTATCCTTATTTTTTCTTTTCTATTTTTCTTTCTATTTTTTTCTTTTCTGCACCTTCTATTTTTTCTTTTTTTTCTTCTCTTTTTGTTTGTATTGGTTTTTATCTTTTCAATTGTAATTTTTAATAAAATTACTATAAAAAAAAGAGTCTTGACGGCGCATGGGGCCATTCCAGAGCCCCTCACTGTGTTTTGGGGAAAATCATGGAGGTTGGCACAGCGTCAGAGGATTGGATTGGGCAAATGTTATTCCCATTTTCAACACGGGGGAAAAAGAGGAAACTATACACTGGCCCGCCTGATGATACCAGGCAAAACTCAAACAGATTATTA